CTACCACTACCACAACAACTACTACTACTACTACGACGACGACTACTCCTACTACTACTGCTACTGCTGCTGCTTCTACTACTGCTACTACTTACTGCTGCTCGTACTACCGCTGACTCCTACTGATACTGCTGTTGATACTGCTAACTACATGCTGTAAAACACCATGCACAAGAAGACAAAAACTGTGCTATCTCAGATCTGAGACGAACAGCAAAAACAATCTTGAGCTTGCTGCTTGTTGGTTGGAGTTTTACTGTTGTGCGTACACGGACTATGCTTCGTCACACTGAGGCTGATAAGCAGCGATCTTTTGCAAGTCTCTGCATGACACCCGCCTGCGTCCGGACACCTCGAACCTGGAATGGAGCTGGTAAGCGGAGCTGTCCAATCTTTGGAAACGCCTTTGCCTGCTGGCATGTTGCTATGAAGTAGTACTCCTGGTTGGCAGAAAGCACATCCACCGGCGCACTATCAACGTGTGCGGACATGCTCAACGATGGACTTCGGTCGCCTCTTCCCACTGGACAGCTCCACTTCTTTCTGCGTGTAGACGAAGAGTGTCCTTTCCTCAGCCGGTCTCAGTCATCTCACCTCGTCCGCAACCACCGCAGGAAGGCAGTTCGAAGCCGCGACCGAATCCGCGGATGAAGTCCGCACAGCAGCAAGTTGCAGGATGTTGCTGTCGCATACTTGTCCTGGAAGCTCTTTTTGGCCTCAGGCAGGCCCACTTTTTAGACTCAGCACGGACACCGTGAGTACGATTTTACTCTTCAGATACTGAGGTTCAAGCCGACTTGTGCCGGAAGGTCTGCATGGCAAAGTATCCTGCAGGCCATCCACCGACAAGCGCCGTGACGCAAAGCGCGTTCTCGCTGACCCGCCACTTCTTCTCCCGAGCTTGGTGCTTGTCCTTACATCGGACCGACACAGTTCGCCATGCACAGTTGGTATTATATGTAGATGTCACACATACGTACACCCGCGCGCAGGAATCGTCTATCTATCTATGCGCCAGGTGTCAGAGTGAAAATAAAGAGTGAAAATCAGCTGTATACGCAAATAGCTGATGGGTTAACCTACACTCATGTAATTATCGAAATGAGCAGGTTTTTATGGCAACAGGAGTAGCGGCCAAGAACCTGCAGGAATAAAGCAGGTAAAGCCGGGATGCATACCAAAAAAGGCCAGCTGTGCCGCCATTGATGCCCGCAGCAGCAGCAAGCATGGAACGCACGGGAGGCAGCGTTTGCATGGCCGAGATAAGAAACTACTACGCTCCTTAAACTTAGCTGAAATGCGCTAGTCTCGAAGCGTGTTTAGCTCTAGCTTCTCTGTGAGTCTGATCAACAGTCGGACGGAGCATCAAGACTGTGCAGAGTTTTGGAAGCTGTGAGAGCGAACTTTCGACTTTCTACCGGCTCAACTTGAGGATTGCCCAACTGCGAGGGCTACCACCCGTAAGCCTTCGGCACCTTTACGTACCACTCCTCCGTAGCCCCAGCGTTTGGGTCTGAGGCGTCTTGGCTCCCAGAAGCGTGAAGACCAAAACAAACAAACCGCATACATCGTCCACCGAACTGAAGCGTGAACCTTAAGTGCAACTCCAGCCCAAGCCTCAAAAGCCTCAAACCCGCATCCCCCAAAATGCCCGCTGAACCCAGCCTTGAGATTGAAGGGCATGTCGAGCTCCTGGGAGGACCATCCTCGACGGGGCCAATTTTTGGACTTTGAGCTTGTTAGGGTGAGGCTTTAACTAGGGTTTGGGGTTTGAGGGCATGAGGGTTCAGGGGTTTGGAGGTTTTGAAGTTTAGGATTCGGTTGAACGGCGGATTTATGTGCTAGGTTTCAGGTCAGCTTCAGTTAGGCGAGAGACCCCGATTTGAAGCTGGAAGATGCCGGCAGATGCTTTTTCGCGACTTCAAGGATGACTTAGCACATGTATTGGACTCTGCTACCCCGGAACACCAATGATTCTGACAGCACACCGGGCTGCTCGTCCGAGCAGCATCAATCTCAGCCGACCCCCTGGCCCGAGCAACATCAGCATCAGCGGGCAGGCATCATAGCATCTGCCGGCCCTTGTCCAAGCATCATCAG